GGATCGGGATACCTGTGTGCGGGGCCGATTCGGCCGAGGCAAAGGCGTCGGACGTTGCCGAGCAACCACTGCGATAGTTGTCCTGAGTGGCGTCGATATTCACTTTCATAAGTTAGCTCACGTCTCTAGTACTACAGCCGGACTGACAAACCTAGGAGTTCAATTTAACTCGGTGGGCCCAATCTGGATTTATTCGCTTCGTTCTTCGTTGACGGCCCCGAGGCCATAGGTTTTTGTTATCGACCCAGGAGTCGAAGGCTAATGGATCACCATAAGAGTTGTAAGTTGAACTCACGGTCCAAAGCGATGCTTCTCCTAAGAGTGGTCATGATAGTTTATACCAGCCTACACCTTACACGGTTGGACTCCGAAATGAGTGTATGGCCAATAGTCAACTATCCCGGGCCTCAATCAAGCACCTGCCAAGATTCATGCCATTTTGAGTGTCCAAATATCATTGATCATCGCACTGTGACTACGATGGCTGACATGGTCTTTGAATTTGAAAGAAAGGTTTCAACTGGAGCACTCTATAGAATATCACCATACCAAATCCGACAGGTCATATACAACGGCACCTCGCGAACCACGATGATTCCAGCACCACACCGTCGAGTTCGGCCGGTGTCGCAACGGCAAGCCAACCACACGGTAGAGATGCTCTTATACCGATACTCTCTGTGTAATAGTCTCATTGGTGCTGAGGAACGATCTCCGTGTGCCGTATACGGTAGTTATCCTCATCTGAGCCGCCGTTCTCTGGCACTATTTGATATGCTCATCGCCTATCTGATCTATTTGATGCTTCTCTGAGCAAGGCTCTCGATCTTTGATTCCTTCACCCCTCGAATGTGTAAATTCAAATCACCCCAAGAACGACAAGAACTTGTACGTCTCAATAGGTCATTCGTTGGGACAGTCATATTCGGTGTTCGGTCGGCGATTTTTTGGGTCTGGGAAGGATTTTTGACCCATCCACTTCGTCGACCGGAATCTGTGAAGATTAAAGCCGAGATGCAACGCAAGTGCATACCGCCATCCTTCTCGAGCTCCGATGACAATGGTCCAAGTAGTCCCCGGCGTAGTCGTGCAGCCACAAGTAGATAAATCAATCATTGGGATAGCCAAGTTTGTTGCAAGTCCAGGCATATAATATAAAATATTTAAATAATAAAGCATTTTTGCGATAGCACCTCATTTAAATGGTTCCAACTTGAAGCTCACTTTGAACAGTGTTGTTGAATTCACATCAATAGAGATACATTAGTCAACTACGAGATAGAAGAGAGGTGGGAATCAAGAAGGAGGCCATTGTCTCCCTGAAGGTCATTGCAGGCAGTAGGTAGAATGGGGATACAGAGATTTACATGGGGCATTTGAATGGGCATTTAAACAGACATTTGAATGCGTCGTTCAATGGGTTGTTTAAACCGGGTAGGATTCCCTGATAAACCTTGTAAGTTATGTTATACATGGCACACGCACGGGGGACTTCTGTGAAGGAGAGCCAGATTATTAGATAGGGGTTGAGGCAACACTAAAATGCACCCACAGAAAGATAGATTGGAGGCCTTCATGAACCTATAGAAGTTGGACTTTGCGTATGTTGAGAATGGACAGGCTGGAGAGGAACCGGCGGCGAGCTCGACACTGGAGACGATGGTGGTTCGGGTTGAAAAAGAGATCCGCGCGCAAAGAGGGGCTTCCCCAGCTTCCCCTCACGACGCGGAACACGTGCATCTTGTTCGGACTTCGTCGGTCAGAGTCAACAACCCCTTTTCCTTTGTTTTTCTCCTCGTTCAAGCTCGCTCATTGTCAACCTTATTCCGATAGTTAGTTCAAGAGCACAAGCAAACAGGTCAATTCCATTGAAGCACGCACTGGTCAAATCAGTTATTATTGAGGCTTTAAGCATTTTAGACTTTCGCCGTACAGCAGGAGGAATTCAAATGCGGTGCGATCGCACTTTTACTTTGTTTTTTAAATATTTCATATACATCTCTTGGCAAGTCTCTATACTTGTGTGATAGCAGTGTGGATCTAGCTCAAAAAGGCTGGCCCATGAGAAGAAAACACTGGTATTTAAAAAAACTTGTGTAAGGTTGAGTCCTACTGCCTTTATACCCACGGGAGACTGAGACAAACCGGCCAACGCTCCATAGTCTAGCGTGGATTGTCGGGAGGTTTCTCATAAGTTGTATAGACACAGAGAGTAAAAAAGATTGATAGCTTTAAGAGTAGCAAAAGATTCCGTTACAGGGAATCGAACCCTGGGCTATCGCGCTCGCGACATTACAAGTGTTATGAGAGGCGATAATGTTAGCCACTACACCATAACGGATCTACAGAACAATAGGCAAACAGGGGACATATTGGGTGAGGGGTTGTAGCGAAATCTCTTTGTATGATTGCAGCTCCGGAACTGCATGAGAATTAATGAGTCCTAGGAGGACCATTATGAACTCGGGGGGAAAGATCGATGAAGGGAAGTTTTTGTTTCAAAGTCTGCTGGCAACCATATTCTTGGTCTGGATCCAATATTGTCAGGATTTGATCGATACTCTTTCTAAGAGGGAAGATCCCATCTGGATGGGGTCGAGCGAATCGTCTGAGTCCGACCCCTCCAGGCCTCCCAGCCCCCATCAATCAACGCTCGATGACGGTCTTCAGGCTTCCGCCAGTCCACCCCAATTTCGGAGAGAATCTCATCTCATAAGTATGTACGTACGTTGATAATCTGGCTCAGGTTACGAGCGAACGAGGTGCTATCGAGCGATCTGCGAGCGTCGGAAGTCTAGAGCTGGATTTGTGGCGTATGGAGCATTTTCCCACGCTCGACTACTCCTTGTCCCCTACTGCTATTACCTCTTCTTGTGGGCTTGTACTTATGGGTCAACCTTTTAATGGGCATGGGGAACATTTGAGTATGTATGAATGTTGTTGGTCATTCCGGAATCGCGTAAACATCATGCTTGATTTGGCACTTAAGGTTTGCTCCGCTCATATGTACACGCTCAGGCATCGCCGACACGAGGCTTTGTCGCCGATCGCGACGTCGACCACCGCACAAGGCAATCCAACATATGTACTAGTGGCACTCGTGTTTCACCAGTCCCCGTCGGACGTCGTTCATTCGTATCCATTTCAGGAAAAGTCGAAGAAATTGCTTGGAGACGGTCCCTGACAATGAAATGGATCGCCGCTCAAAGCCCTCGACTCGACTCGGGAGGAGGAAATGTTCATGCGGCGTAGAGACCCCACGTTTCACCGGAGCCCTGAGCCCCCGAACATGCTTTGTCGTTAGGTCAAGTATACGACTCCAATCGACCTTGGGCTCGACTCGAGCCCCGACTCAAGTGGAGGATCGTGAGTTCATTCTGGCCCCTGGATCAAACCTCACGCGAACCACGATAGGTCCTACGGAGTGGAGTCTGGATGAGTAGAAAAATCCCCAGACTGTGCAGTGTGTAGTAATTAGTGCGTATGTAAATCATTGCAGTGACACTTGAGTTCAAATGAAATCTAATGATCGCCTTCGCCTTTATCTGACGTCTGCCCAGTGCCCACGACCCACAAAATTAGTGCCACGGTGGCTTTGACCTGAGCAACTCGTGTTTTAACCCCGGTGGGCGGGTGGCGCGTATTATGAAGAACGAAATTTAGATGGATGGGGCATGGATTTATGGGTCTATGTACATGTTTCAACTTCGATCTGCCTCCATCTCTTACTCAACCTGCAGAGGAAAGACTCCTTCACCCCTGTAAGCTGTGGGAGCCCGATATTTCTTCGGACTCCGTCATTCCTCGTTAGCAAACCTGAAAAGAAGTTAAGGGACGTTTGAGGGCATGAATCCCGTCGAATCTCTACTGCTGTATGTACTCACTTAGAATACGCTTATGTACTGGAACAGGTCACTGGTCGTTAGTTGCTGGACCCTGCATGTAGTTACGGTCGTCGTCAATAATTTCGCTTCCCCCTCGTGGGTTAGAATTAACAACACGAGGCGCAGGGATGGCGTGGGGAGGAGGCAGAAAGTTGTGACTTGATGGATCCTGTCGAGCCCGAGTGTTGGGTCGATGTTGCTGATTGCGTTGTTTAATTTTACTTCACCTTCCGTCAAAGTTCAGGTCCGTTCTGTTTAAGGTTTGGACGAGTCCCTGGGACTCGAATACCGCTTCAAGTAATTGGACCGAGCTTGAAGCGTCCGCGATCTTGGGGAACTTTGATTTTGATTCTCGAAGACTCAAAATGGTAACGTCCAGAATTCAGATGTTATGATATTCAGATAATGAGCCGGTCATTTTAGAAAACGAGACTATTAATGAACGAAGTCCGATTTCGGAGTCAAATTTTCAAAATCAACACTGGGGATTGGAAGACGCGGCACTCGGCAACGGTCCGTTAAGTGGGAAGCTTTTAGCTAACGAGAAGCCCCGAAAGATGTATCTTGATAATATGTCGGAAGTTCCTTGAGAATCCTGTCGCCAAGTCGGTCCTACAGCCGTGAACCTCAACTCGGACCGGACAGAACTCATCGTTAGGTGAAATCGGGTCTCGAGCCCGAAGGAATTCGTCAGGGAGCTCAATCAACAAGCTCACAAGTTCTTGAAGGGATGTTTTCACTACACACTAGAGAACTTTAGAAGTGCGAAACCTCGATGTTGATCGTTCTTGAAGTTCTCAGATTAATGTTTGGGTTCACTTTCCGTCACAGTAAGCCGATCATTTTAGCAAAACAAACCTGGGAGAATGAAGAAAGACCCGGTCCGGTTGAGTCGAATTTTCAAAATCAACACTCGGAATCGGAGGACCCAGAACCCTACTACGAAAGAGAGTTTAGGTGGAACTTTAGCCAATGACGAGAAGCCTGAAAAGATGTGTCTTGATAATATGGCGGAAGTTCTTCAAGATCCTCTCGCAAAGTCGGTCCTACAGCCGTGAACTTCGACTCGGATTGTTTCGAACTCAGCGTTGCGTGAAATCGGGTCTCAAGCCCGAAAAAATCGCCAGGGAACTCACAAGCTCTGACAGAGATGTTTTCACTACACTAGAAGAACTTCAGACGCGCGAGGCCTCGATGTTGGTCCTTTCTTGAAGATTATTGGGTTCACTTTCTGTCACAGTAAAAAAGTTATGGTAAGGGTATTAGTGTGAACCTAAGTCCATCGAGAATATGACTTAGCCGCAGGAGTAATACAAGGTAAACAACACTAGGAGTCGGGAGACGCGGTACGCGGCAACGGGTAGTAGAAATCAAGCTTTAGGTGGGAACTTTAGCTGACGAGAAGCCCCGAAAAATTTGTCTTGATAATATGTCGGAAGTGCTTTGACATCCTATCGCGAAGTCGGTCCTACAGCCGTGAACCTCAACTCGGACCGGACAGAACTCAGCGTTACGTGAATCCGGGTCTCGAGCTCAAAGACATTCGTCAGATAGCTCGTTCAACGAACTCACAAGCTCTAACAGAGATATTGCCACTACACTAGAGAACTTCAGACGCGCTCAACCTCGATGTTGGTCCTTTCTTGAAGATTTTGGGCTCACTTTCTGTCACACTGATAGAAAAGCTGTGGTGAGGGTGCTTGTGGGAGCTCGAGTCCATCAGGAATATGACTTGGCCGCAGAAGTACTACGAGGTAATCAACACTGGAGATCGGAAGACGCGGTACGCGGCAACGGGTAGTAGAAATCAAGCTTTAGGTGGGAACCTTTAGCTGATGAGAAGCCTCGCAAGATGTGTCTTGATAATATGTCGGAGGTTCCTTGAGATCTTGTCGCGAAGGAGTCGGTCCTACAGCCGTGAACCTCGACTCGGACCGCACAGAGCTCGCGTTACGTGAAGTCGGGTCTCGAGCCCGAAGGAGTTCGTCAGGGAGCTCACAAGCCACAGCAGAGATGTTTTCACTGCACTAGAGAGCTTGAGGGGCGCGGAACCTCGATCTTGGTCTTTACTTGAAGAATTTAGGTTGATATTTGGATTCACTTTCCGTCATAGTATAAAAAGTTGTGCTGATGGGTACTGGTGAGACTCGAGGATATGACTTAGCCGCAGAAGTACTACAAGCTTCCAAGTCTGTCTGTAGGCACAGAAAATTTTTCGTATACCGTGGAGTACGGGGAAAGAAGCTTCACGCCTCACAAAGAGGGGGGTCCAAAGGTCTAGTGTACTTTGTTCTGACAATGAACTCAACCACTGACCAAGGCGTAGTTGTCGGAAGTCCGAGTCGCATTTCGAGCTTGACGCACAGACTTGAGTAGTATCGGAGGTTTTCGCCGGTAGAGCAAGCGATTGAACATTTCTTGCTGGGCGCAGTACTATACGTATAGGTATAAACCCTCTCTTCCATCAGAGACGTGATCCGTCCCGATTCGCCGGTGGCTGGACTCCAGTGTTGGGCAGACGACACCCCTCCGGTCACCTTCGGTAGGTACAGTAATGATACCCGTGAAGCGTTGGAGTTTTCGACATGATAATGACTCTTCCAGTCCAGAGTTCAAACTCCTCCCTCCGATGCCACCACGGTGGCGGATATAACCATACAGGGGGGAGATCAGGGCCATTGAACTTCGAAGTTCGGGTCAGGGCGAGCCCCGACAGTGTTTTAACTAGTGTTCCGATCCTGAGAGACCTTGAGCGCTATATCGAGGAGAAAACCTGCGAACGAAGAGAGAAACCCGGAAGAGCACGGCGGACACAGCGACGTCGAGGAACAATTCAATCTTTAACCTTTAGGCGCCCGACTCGGACTTCCTTTTCTATAGCGGAAAGAAGTCGTGAATTTTGAAATTTGGAAATACGAGGCTTGGCACTGAAAAAAAAACGTAGTCGTGGAGACAGGCACGATACATTGCCGGCCCCGAATCCGAGTCCCCCCAGACAGCAAACGGACATGCCGGGCCGAGCCATTTAAACGCGTGCGGCGCTAATTCCACCAGCCGAACGATCACATGACTACCGCGTCTCACAAACGTGACATGTTGATTTGTTGTCCGCAACGTTTTTCCCTTTTACCACCACCACGGTCTTCGTCGTTGGGCCATAACGCAAGCAATATGGCCTCTACACCTTCATCGCCAGACTACACGCAAATAGGTCGTTTTGGGACTATATCGCTCCTCAAGGCCACTTCGAAAGACGTAGTCACGTCGTTTGGGATCGACACGGAGAAACTGACGTTTGGGAGGGATAAAGAATGTAGTGTTAGGTTGTTTTATGAGGATGTAAGTGGTGTACACTGTAGAGTTGAATTTAGGGAACGAAAGGTTCGTATTCTGTTCTTCGTTCTCATTCTTGTTTTTTGTGACTAACTCACGTTTTTATTGTTGTTGTGTAGGCATT